TTTGACATTGCACCGCTCGCTTGGGACGATGCGGCGGCGTGTTGTTGATTTGAAGATGAAGTCCGCCCCGAGAGGTTGGGGAAAGCCACCCGCCCGCCACCCCTTCCAGCGACGTGCTGATCAATAGGAGGTCACGAGGCGTGTTGCTGGAAGAATCTAATTGGCTGTTTGACTCACAAGGCTCGCCGTTTATGAATATCTGATGACGTGCGACGACTGAAGCAAAAGGGAGGCAGAACGTACGCACCGCGATACAACAACAGCCGAGTCGGTCACTGGACAATGACCAAGTTAAAGCCGAAAGACATGAAACAAAGCAAGTCCGAGTGGGTTGTCCGTGACAGAGAAACAAGTCTTGGAGGAGCTAATGAGTTCAGTTAGCTTTCCCGTCCCGTCAGAGTCTTGAGCGGTTAGCCGATATTTGCCCTCCCCTTTGATAATTGCATTTATTTTGCGCTTAGGTGTGCGACTGATGCCCTCTCAAGCAGAAATGAGTGGGCAAAGGTCTTCCTCAAGGACGCTCTGGCTTGGTTTCAAGCTTGGATCGCAGCGCCAGGAACGGCTTATTTCCTGCCTGATTTACGGTTACGTGGAAGTAGACTGCAAAAAAAGTGCCGATTGTCTGAGAGGTGTGCGACTGATGCCCTCTCAAGCATAAGTGAGTGGGCAAAGGTCTTCCTCAAGGACGCTTTGGCTTGGTTTCAAGGGCTTGGATCGCAGCGCCGGGAACGGCTTATTTCCTGCCTGATTTACGGTTACTTGGAAGTAGACTGCAAAAAAAGTGCCGATTGTCTGAAGATTTCTACAAGGTAAACCGCTCCGTCCTCGCCACAATCCCCGATCGGTCCGCATTAAAGCCAACGTCGGGCGTCGGTTTGCGTTGCCCGAGTACCCGTGCGTCAAAAGGCGCAGGCGCTAAGACTCGAGCACTCAGATTCGTCTGAAAACGCCGCCAGTGGAAGACGATACTGACGTTACGACACGGAGGCATCGACCTCGGTGTGAAGAAATTTGCCTCCGACTTTAACTCAGTCTGAAGCTTGATTCGGGACTTGGTTAAAGATGCGGACATTTATGGCAAATGCTACGCGTTGTTAACAGGCGGGAGTCTCGCATTCACTCAAATGTGCGCTTGGTTGAATTCAAGCGACTTAACTCGCTCACAATCTCACTCAAAAGCTTGTCGGCTTCACGCAGCAGGTTTGTCCGGCGTTTGGAGAAGCACGACCTCTTTCACGCGGGCCTCCGGGCAAACACACAGCAAGTGGCAACACAGCTGCTTACCAATTCAAGTAGGGTGTTAAACCCCCGTGGTTGCCCCCCGCCCCCCTTCACTTTATTTTGAATAAAAGGTGAGATACAGTGCACAGATGCAGTTCTTTGGGAATGATCCGAAACAGCCTTCACAAAGAGGGGAACGTTGGTCTGCAAGTTTTGGATGTCCGAGAGTTCTGTCGGGCGGCAGCACGGCGGCCCAGCGGTTAGCACGTGCCCCGCCTCTCGCCCCCATAGGCTCCAGATCACCCGCGACACTCAACGAGGACAAACTTCGAATGTGAAATTTGGGTGGATGGATGGACGGATGGTTGAAGTCAAAGCCAACGCGCCGTGTCGTACGCACGTCAGCACGTGGGTGCCAGTGCTCTATCCTGTCGCAGGAGGTTCGCTTCTAAATACCCCAGACGACCTTACACGTCCGCGAGTGTCTCCCCGCCACCTTACTGGAACGCTCTGCGCTGTATGTGCGTGTATGTGTTCCCTCTCTCTGATCTCAATCTCCTTTCAGTGTTTGCCCCTACCATTTTCCATGTGCTCTGCCTCACCGACACTGCCATCCGGCGTGGTCCTCTCGTAGCTGTCCTCGGGCAGGGGCAGGGCGCCCAGTCGGGGCCCCGACGAACTCTTGCTGCTGGGCGTCTCGGACTCGTCCAGGCCGCTGTCGTAGCAGCTCTGCAGCGATCCCTGCTGGTGAGGGTCCTGGGGCTGGCTCACCACCGAGAAGGTCACTCGGCGAAACGGCTACAAGAGAAACCAAATGGCCGGGGGTCACTACAAAAGGGACGCTTAGGCGGAGTTCTGTCCTCGGATTGGGAGTTGAGGGAAGAAACAAAGCAGACAGGTGTCAGAAGGCTTTTTCCGCAAGATCCCAAAGGGAGTCAAAGGCTCAAGCTGGCGAGTACGCACGCATGTCCCAAATAGCCGTTCGGGCGTTCGCGGCGTCACTTATTTGCTGATCATTTTAGGAACGTGTCTTCTGTTATTCATTGAGTAACTCACAGATTGACTGTTTTTGTCCCGAGGCCAAAGAATAGCAGTTCGGCGTTCGCGGCGTCACTTATTTGCTGATCGTTTTAGGAACGTGTCTTCTGTTATTCAACTCACAGATTGACTGTTTTTGTCCCGAGGCCAAAAGCGATAAAGGCATTACATTGGGACGATCTTGTGGAATGTTGATGTCATTGCGAGGTTGAAGTCTTTGGTCTTTTCCCTGTGAAATGTCCTGCTTGGTTGGCAAAGTGGACGTTGGTTTTTGCTTCTCCTGACGTAGCTCTCAATAGCCTGTGTGCTCTGCTTTTTTTTACATTTACATTTTTGATTTATTCATTGATTTATTTTTTTTATAGCTGGACAAACCAAAAAGTGAGTTTCATGACTTTTGAAGTCAGCTTAAGTCACACAAGCTTAGGTTCCTACCAGAACAAAGAACACATTACTCCGGTCCTAAAAGCACGACACGGGCTCCCAGTCAGCTGTAGAATACGTCGTCAAATTATGCTACCGGTCTACGAATCACTGAATCGTTTAGGTCCTGAATACATTCCGGAAATGCTAATGGAATATAAAGCCAATAGGGTACTGAGGTCAGCAGACTTGGATCAATTAGTGAAACCCAGACTTCAGAGTAAACACGGTGAATAAGCAATTTGTGGATATGCTGCATGCAAATGAAATATGCTGCCAATAGCGCTGAAGTTAGCCCCAAGTGGAAAAGCTTAAAAAAAATAATAAATTAAAAAAGCATTTCTGCAATAAATTTTTCTAAAATCTGTGCGTTCTTTTAGTACTTTTAGGTCACTTTTATTTCTTGACTTTGCTTTCAAATGTCTTGAATTCTTTGGTTTGGAAATGTTGTCGTTTTAATTTTGCGAAGCACATTGAGCTACCTTGCTGTCACATTGCGAGGTGGTGGTGGACCCCAAAAAGATAATAATAATAATTTAAAAAGCATTTCTGCAATAAATTTTTCCAAAATCAGTGCGTTCTTTTCGTACTTTTAGGTCACTTTTATTTCTTGACTTTGCTTTCAAATGTCTTGAATTCTTTGGTTTGGAAATGTTGTCGTTTTAATTTTGCGAAGCACATTGCTGTCACGTTGCGAGGTGGTGGTGGACCCCAAAAAGCAGGCAAGAGGGAAGAGCAGGGTGTACTTGACAAATTGTATTAAAACATAGAGAAAACGAAATCCTAAACAAACAAAGTCCTGAAAACAAAAAGAATCCAAAGTAGCAAACAAGACCATGACTGAAGCAAAAACGAACCATAACCGAAACATGACTGAGAACAAACATGACAGTAGCAAACACAAACAAACAATAACCCGACACTGAGTGGTTGTGCCGCGAGTCCTTTTAAACAATTACATCACGACATAACGACCAACAGGTGTGCAGCTGCAGGGAGAGCCCTACAGTGCCACCTGTTGGTCACAAACCGAAACATGTCACTTGCGAATGAAATCCAAATACCTAAAGTGCGAGCGTGCATATTTGTTTGCTCGTCTTGACAGTTTGCGTTAGCGTGCTATTCAGTTTAGCATGCTGGCTAATACTAGCGAATGAGCTCGGTATTTCGTTTGTGCTAAATAATTGAAGTCCAGAGTACAGGTGTTTATGCAACATGCTTTCATGATTGTGTAGGTGCGGGAAGCTGATGATCCGTTTCCCGTGGTGTCACAGACCAGTTAGCGGAATCTTGAGGCTAATACGAACCCCTTGAAAGCGTGAGTGGCGGCAGGGCTCCGTCCCGAGCCCCCAAGTATAGCAGGGATGCACGATCATGGCGACCACATTTTCTCCTACAGCAGTTCCCAACAACTTTCATGACTTTTTAACACCCGCAAACGCATCGATGGGACTCTGCGGATCAGAGCGGTAAACATGGCCCTCAGCCTCGGTGCTGGCCCGCAGGGGAAAAGAATGTTTTCCCCCTGATTTATCGAAGACGGGCGAACGAGGGCCCCGCCCGTCTGAGCGGCAGTCCGCGCGCAGGTGAAGATAAGAGCATTCCCATCCGGCGGAGTCTTTGCCAGAGGAGCCGCTGTCGATACGCGTTGCTTGATCGAAGGCGTTATTGAGCAGCGTCAGTGAGTTAAGCAGTTAAGAGCATTTCATTAAAGTCGAAGTCTCTTTCTTGCCCTCCCCCGCTGTCTCGGTCACCGCCTGTCTAGCTCTCGTTCCCTATCGGCGTGCCGCGCGGAGGTAGCGGCAGCGGGAAGGTGATGAAAGACGTGGATTCGACACTGGCTTTGCCGTTATCGTTATAAATGACTCTGCAAATGGTCGATGCCGTTCGGACTTTGTAATGAGATGCCGACGTAGCCCCGGCTCGCCTCCGTCGCCGGGACCTCGTTGCTTCCTGACATCGCCAAGACGTGATTCCATCATAAACCCAAATTGTCTTCCTGTTCTGAGGCTGTTCAATTCCGTGTTTGTTTGTTTGTTTGTTTTGTTTTGTTTTCGTCATCTCCAGCCTGCCACGACGCATCCCAAATGTGTCTGAGAGCCCCAAATCCCCATTTGAAGCAACGCAGTGTGGATTGCAGCCCTTCACGGTTCCCAATCTTTGCCCGCGTTTCCACACCAAGCGCTGCATTTATTGACTTACTTGCACCCAGTTCACTTTCTCTGGCTGACTGACGCGCACGGCAATCCTGGCAATAACTCATGTTTCTGTGTAATTACAATCAACACTCAACAAATGAATCGGTATAAATATTCATGCAGATCTCACTCGGATAGCCAAACATTTGCTGCGCAATTAAAACCGCCGACCCAGAAGAAAAACGGCTCTGCGAGTGTAACAACACTTGAGTCCGTGTTAAGATGCTAAATGTTGCTTTTGTTTCTTTGTTTACGCACCCAAACGTTTTGTTTTTTGGGGTGTGTGCGAGATGTTGCTTGTGGATTTGTCTGGCGGCGTGACGCTCTGTCCCTGGGAAAACTGTTTTCTCATTGACACAAATGCAATGAACGCCGCCTAATGAATTGGAAACACTCGGGCAAGGGAAAAGGGAAAATTAGCTTGCGGAAATGAAGCTCGGGGAAAATATTTGATTCACCTGGATTTCCTCCTTTATTGGCTGCGCAGCGAGACGGTCGGCAGAAAGCTCATTTATTTGCAGAGCGGCGACGGAGTTCACGCCAGGATTGCCGCGGGCTTTGGATCGGAATCTGCTGTAAGCACCATCTGCACTGTGACCTTTTGCTCCTTTCACTTCTCAAACTTTTTTCGATCTGTGAAGCGTTTGGTTCTCGCTTTCCCAGGTTCACGTCAGCGCAGTGGAAAGCGAGTGTTTTGAATGAAATGTTGCCACTGTCCAGCATGCGATTCCCCCTGCGTATTTACGATCAAAGAACGGACCGATTTCAGTTTCGATGGATTGATGGGCAGTTTTAGGGTTGGTCAAAATCGTCACCAAAAAATTGGAAGATTCGAGCACCGAACGCAACGGTTGGCTGTCACGACGGCTGGTGGGCGGACGTTGTGAAGTTGGCTGCCGCCATCGAGTGGCTGGAATCAGTTCGGGCGTTTCGCTCACAAGGCAAAGCAAAACGTTTGCCCACCCGACAGGTGGGGTAACAGTTTATTTGCAGCAGGGCATGACTGGACAAAAACTCAAGTAAGGAGCTCTGCACCAAAATGTGAAGGGGGCTTTCTTGGCTATTTTACTTGTTTTCGAGGCAAAGTAGCGAAAAAGAAGCTGTCTGTCAGCGTTATGGTGGAAATGGCAGCGGCGCAAACTCCACCCCCACTCGGCACCCTTTCGGGGCCCCGTGCATTTGTGAAGGCTGACCGACAACGTGCCCTCCTCCCGCCTCCTGGCCCGAAAGTTCACCCATCTGCCAATCGAGTCCAGCGAGGGAAGCACTTGCACACAAATGCGCAAACACACGGCCCGAGTCCAGCTTGTAAAAAGAAAAACCTTTTATTCGCCTGCGTTACTTGAGCTGCTGTTTTACTGGGCCGACCGAGAGGAAAGCTCATAAAAGTCCCCGCGCCGAATCGCTTTGAGGGACGAGTTTGTTTATACTAATGGTAATTCAGGAAGTGGTACAGTGTTGTTTTGTGGATGTTTTCAGCCCCTGACGAGGATCTGGGATTGGGGGGGATTTGTCAACCTTGAATTCAGGGATGAGAAAAAGATCAAAACCTCATCAAATGGCTCTGCGCTGCGCTCGCATGCGGAAACGCGCACACGGCCACGCGCACGCAAGTGCATGGCTTAACCCCACGCCGCGCCCAGAGTTAGCGCGGCTTTCAACGTACCACTTTCATTACAAGTTAGCGCTCGTTGGCTTGATGGTTACCAGATGCCGGGACCTCTCAGAGGGGGTCGACGTCGGCATCGGCATCCTCCGATGGGGGTGGTGTGCGTGCGCGTGATTGAGAGCCGGCTGCGACAGCCACGGCTGATTGAGCCAAGCTTCCATCCTCCGAGATGAACAATGCAAACAAAGTCGCAGGTAGATTTGGAGGCTTAACCGGGGCCCCGTTTCCTGTCTGGGAGGGGAAAGAAAACACGCGGCTTTTCTGACGCAAGTCTGCGGAGAGCCAGTGAAAACACAAGCGCAGCTTTCGCCGCAATAATGTGCGACCTCTTGGATTTGATTTTCATTTCCTTCATCCCTGAACTGTCAGCAAGGCTCCCCCTAACACACACACACACACACGTTAGCTCGTTTGTTTGGAATTTGTGCTACACTTACAGCTTATTGGGAGTCGAGCATTTGGCGGCGGCG